GCAAAACTACAAGTGCACTGGCGTCCATCCTCCTCACCCCATCAAGAGACAAGTCTCATAGTCTGACAGCCACTTAAAGCAATGATAAGAGACATATCTTACAGGGGAATGGATGACCTGAATTTGGACAGTGATAAATAGAGCACAACTCTTTTACAATCCTCAGTCTAATCAGTCTGGAAATAACTCACATGTTATAATTTAGTTTCATAATTTAGAATGATTTAAGAAACTCCTTTTCCTTCTCAAAAACTCTCAATAAGGCTGTCACAAATTCATCTTTCCTGGGGAATTTATGTTAGGGCTGTTGGGAAAGAAAACAGTGGTATCACTGCTCTGATAAAAAAAAACCTCCAAAGAAAAGCAAGTCTTGAGAGATTCCTACTTGCTGGATGTTGTTGGAGACGGTTTACTTTTCAGATTCTCACACTGATTTCAGCTGACAGGTTTAACTGGGCTTCCCTAGGGGCCGACAATGATCTTGGGCTCTGAGAAATGGAGATACAGGGAAAGAGAGAAAATGTACCATGGATATATGAACCAGTTAGTATTTACTCGTTTGTTCTTTTGAATAAGGGAGACCGGAGCTGTCACACTTTTTACACCAGTGAATATTTCTATATAGTTACATACCTTAAAGTTACAAAAAAGTAATTGAATATGTCCACCATTATTGCCCAAAGAAAAAGATACAGTTCTTTTAACGCACATTAAAGGTGCATTGCGCAACTTTTAATGTTAAAAATACCTGTTTTTCTATCCTATACATGCTTAAAGAACTGCCTGATGGGCTGAATGAGCCCTTCTCTGCGCACTGAGATTGCCTCTCTAATCCTGTACAGTAAAATATATAAGAGGGATCGAATTTGAGACTGGGCGTGACGTCATGCGCGTTCACGCTCACCAGGCTGTGTCTCGAAGGTTTGTGTATTCGCCGGCGCCGCCATTCTCAGCATCAGTGAAGACAACTTGTGCGTCAAAGGTAGAAGATGGATTCAAAGAGACCGGCTTGTAGTCCATTCCAAACCCCAACGCAAACTCCACGTAAAGTAAAGAAAAGAAAATTTTTGTCAGACAGGCGTCGGAGTAAGACGAGAGTCAACCTCGGGAAGGCATTCAACAAATGGAGAGATCTCCGGTCTGCTCTTGGTCTCAAACGGGATCCTCAGTTGGCTTTTTTCTTGATAAAACGGTAAGCTATAGCCTAGTCTCTAATGTTTGATACGGCCAATCTATGTATGACAACAAATGACGATGCGTAAAATGTGTAATGCTTTAGCGTAAGCTAGATACATGTACAATCAGAATTGGTTTTACTACCATTGTTAGTGAACAGTTTCATAAACTAGGAATTGTGTTCGGAAGAATAGTACAACATGAAACATATCCAATAAAAGATGCTAACTATGTTTTTGTGTATGGCCTACCGGTAACGTTAGCCTTGTGTCCATTGCTAACATGCTAAGGTGTTCATGTCATTGACCAACAAGGAAGAACGCCGTTGCATTGGCTATATTGTCTTTTTCGGTAAAAATAGTAAATTGTTCCCGTGAATGGTCCATGAGTGTGCACAACTCTGGTTGCAGTTTCGCTTGTCGCCAGAGGGGGCGTAGTTCTGCAAAAACTCAGAGACTTGCGTTTTGCACCTTTAACCATTTGTGACAACGTGCCCCAATAGCAGGGCAATTGTTTGCGATTAAGCCACAATACAACTTGCCATTGAATAAGCTTCTCAGCTAAATCTAAACAGTCAACAATTATAACATGCAAAACAATTAATCAAATAGCATACAAACAATTTCATTACAAATTTGTGCAATTGTAGGCCTAGATTTAACACAAAAACTTAAATATAATGAAATACAGCCCTTCTGACAACCTCCCCTAGCGCAGTCTCCCCTACTTATTCTTTCTCTGTCAAACTAATTCCATACTTTTACAGATGTTTGGTGTTATAACTGCACTCCAGTGACCTCACTGATTAAAATGAAATTACTGGACACCTTGCTGATCTCAAGTGCAAAGGTTAAAATGAACTCTATACCCCTGGCTACTAGGGGTTATGGGGACATGGTAAGAAAAACATGGACTAGCACTTGCAAGACAGCGGTATGAATGGGGCTTCACCAAAAATGTAACCGTCTGAAAGGCAAACTCAAGATCAAAGTTAAACTCTCTTCCAGCCATGTCTGAAGCCAAAAACCTCCACAGATCTATACAGACATATTCTGCATCTACTTCAGTTTTAATCATGGCAGTTTTGGTCATTTAGATTTATTTCAAAAAGAGGACTACAAGCTAATAATAACTGTACCATTTGAAGAAGAAGCATCATTCTTGAGAACAACTATACAACTAAAGTATTATGAACTATCACTGGCCAGTGATAATGGCATTTATCCACTGCTTCTCTGGTGGTCACACTCAAGTCACAAAAGTTAAATGAATAATGTTGCAACACTTTTTAAGAATAATTTCTTGGAAATGCAAGTTTTTAAACACATGCTGTAATTATAGCATGTAGAGGCTTCTGACTGTGGCTCGTGGCAGCCTGATTCTTTAAATAGACTCGGCACCACAAATCATCTGCAGTGCTTGCGGTGAGTCTAATTGAAGTCCAGAAACCATTTGAACTGTCAGTGTCAAAGCACGAATAATAAAAAGAAGCATTCAGTGGGCGTAAACACAGCATCATCTCGCGTGATGCTGATATGAAAGGAAGAGCATCCAATGGTGAGAAGCAAAATGCTAATAATAGTCTAATGGGCATCTTGCTTGGTTTCTTCTCTGTGTTCTTTCTTGAACTCAATGTAATTGCTTTCTTTAACCCTTCTGTTTTCTTCAGGTCATTTTTAAGTCTGTAAAAATACACAATAAATACCACGTCCCCCCCCCCTCCCCCCTCCCTATATTGGAACAAGACTGTCAGGAATACCAAAACAAATTATATGAGATATTATGAAATGCCAAAAGGGAACCTAACCAGAGAAAAGGACACCGTTCGCCAAAGTCTCCCAGAGTTTTTTCTTTTAACACAAATTGTGTTAATCCATCAATAATCTAAATAAAATTCCATCATAATACACATAAGAACTTGAAAAAAGAACATTAAAGGTCTAATCAGGTTTAGTTTAGGACAAGAGGGTTAATAAGTCACCAAACATTATACTTGCTAAACAGATAATTATAATTAATCAGTGCACAAATATCAAAATGAAAATGTATGAATCAAAGTTTGATGACAAATGTTATCAAGTATATTATACAGATGCTAATATATTAACTAATGGTCTTATTCTTTATATTGCAGCTTAATAATGTTTGTATTTTTGTTTGCATTGTATGATACTGCATGTAGCATTAGTTTAACACATGTGGAGTGTGTTGTCAGATTTTATAGTAAACATATGCAAAAACAGACAGGTGAAGAGAGAGAGACATGACCGTCTCTCTGCGTCCCAAGTTCAAAAGTGGCTTAATTTTCAGCTGAAACAAACACGTGTCAAACGGTTTTATATCGACCTTTCTTGAGTAAGCTACATATGAATACAATTTTGTCCTCGCAAATTAAAATGACACTTTAAAACTACAAAAAAACTGGTTACCTCTCGTTGACATGATGCAGTAGGAAAAGCTGTGGATTTTCTTCCTGAAATGATGGTGGTCGGCAATGTGCCTTTCAGAACAAAATAGGCTATAGTCCCCCGACTTCAGATAAATAGAAGGTGTGCGAGGCGAGCTCTGTGTCCGTGACCGTGAGCAGCGGAGCAGCTCGTGCGCTCGGCATCAGTGATCACCACAGCGCGAGGAGAGGCGAGGCGAGAGAATAACGGGAACCAGTGGCACACAATGGGCGTGTCCTGTGTGATGGACCGACTGCTGCACGGTATGTGGCTACAGAGCTGAAGCAGAACATATATATAGCCACTGCTGTTTTCGAATAACTATTGTTTTGCTGACTTTAACCATTTGTAATGGTGTTTATATATTAGTTTTATATATTTTATGTAAGTTTTATATATTATACATTTCCAACACTTTCTTTTCGACGATAAATGTCACTGCGATGATCTGCCAAGATCGCACTTGGTTTAAAATGTACCATTAGCCTACAATATACGTCTCTCTCTCATTAAAAACAAAACAAAACAAAACATAGGCTAATTAAAACAATTACAACAACGTTATATAAAAAATAAGCCATAGCCTAGCCTAGCTATACAACGTATTAGTCTATAACAGATTTTTCTTAAATTCTGTAATATTGAACACATTGTTCTTGTTTATCCTATCTAAAAACTGCTTCAGTAGCCTATATGGTTAAATATCGCCATCATGTGGTAGTTTCATATTTTACTGTGCCTATAAATTATAATAAGTAGGCCTCGCTTAGACCTATTAATAATTGACGATACATACACTGCTAGATTTTTTTCCTATACGAGCTAGTAAAATACGAAGGACAAAAATATTTATATATGCCTAAAGAAGCAGAAAAGTACATAGGCTATTTTATGGAGAAGGCCAAGTTCCCTGTGCCATGCGCGCACGCAGCACGCGATGTGATCAGCCGCAACTGATCTAGAGTCAGTTTTAGTAGATTTGCATGTGGCTTTGGGAATCAGATCCTGGCATTTGCAAGCTTTGTCCCGGGGCAGGAATCAGTAGCTTCGCAGTGGATCGAGAGAGATATTTAGATATGCTACTTCTTGTGTATTTTGGAGGCCTGATATCAGAATAGTCCGACTGCAAATTAAAAGAGTTTGCAGGAATATGCTTGATTATTAGTGTTGCAGCTGGGTTTTTGCCTGGTATACAATGATTGAAATGTACTCCGGCAATATCAGCAATTGCAATTCTAACTGAGGGTTCTCTTATGTCAATTTGAAGGTGCTTACCAGAAACAGGTCAGAGATGACACAAACACAAACGGTCTGCTCTGCTGCTGATGTCGTCGGTCACTCTTGAAAGAACTACAAATACCAACACGCGAATGACGTCATAATTTTGCGCCGCGATAAATCAAGAACAAGCATGGCTGGTGTGTCAACTTTACAGAACGGTTCATTATCCAAACTGCAGTCTCTGCATGGTATATTTGCCATCTATAAGAAAGAGGGTCCCACCTCAGCTGACGTGTTAAACACACTGAAGAAGGCGCTTTTAAAAGGTAGGTGCGTTTTTATGTTATTGTTCTTTTTGGACATCTTGTGACGCATCCAGTTCATGTCACTCCTCTGCATTTGGGGATTAGATAGTCACGAGACAATTATCAGAATACTTTTTATTGTATAATGAGTTTATCCTTACACAGAGGCAGGCGTTGCAAATCCCAACCCTCGGAAAAGGAAGAAGCAACCTTTAAAAATTGGCCATGGCGGCACCCTGGACAGCAATGCCTCTGGTGTACTTGGTAAATATAAGTTAATCAAGTATCTTCTTCCGTTCTGAAACATGAAACAAATAAAAAAATTACACCTAGAGCACTGGTGAAGTCGAAGCAGCTGTTTTCACAGAAATTACGTATTAAGGCAATATATTTCTTGTTGTTGAAAATGTGTATTTATGATGTTTTCTTTCTATTAGTTTTTCTACTAGTCATATTACATAATATACAAAACAATATGATTGTAATATAAAATATATACAGCTTAATAATAATGTTTTGCAGTGGTTGGAATTGGTGAAGGAACAAAGATGCTCACCACAATGCTTGCAGGATCAAAGGTAAGCATTTTCTAGGTTACATTTTGTTTACATGTCCTTCTACACTTGTAATCTTTGATTACTGTGACATTACATTCTATGGCCTTTTTCATAGAAATACAGAGCTGTTGGAGAATTAGGCAAAGCAACTGACACTCTTGACGTCACTGGAAATGTTGTTGAAGAAAAGAGTTATGGTAAGAATCTTATGAGGGAATGGATATCTAACAGAAGTCAGTGTATAAAGCTAAGTACTTGTTTTTTCCCCAGATCACATCACAAAAGAAGCTTTTGAGGAGAAGCTGAAGCAGTTTACGGGTGATATTATGCAGGTTCCACCTTTGTAAGTCAATTCATTCTGCTTGATGTATAATACACTCCTCATTGATGTCTGAAAGAGTTGTTTCTTGATCTCATAGACATTCTGATATTTGCATTTAAAGATATTCAGCACTGAAGAAGGATGGCAAGCGCATGTCTGTCCTTCTCAAGCAAGGTCAAGAGGTTGAGGCTAAACCTGCACGTCCAGTTACAGTGTACAGTCTCTCTTTACAAGACTTCAGCCCCCCACTTTTCACCATAGGTTAGTCATTTGGAAATATTTGATTGATTGTAGTACATGTATGTTCTTTCTTATACACAACATAGATCATTTATAATAAAAACCGCAACATTCCATTAAAAATATTTTTTTTGATAAAAATCATTGTATGTCATGCTAAACAGCTTGATTTAAACATTTTCTTTTAATTTAAATTTATTATTTGCATTTACAGATGTGGAGTGTGGAGGCGGGTTTTATGTCAGAAGTCTGGTTGATGATCTGGCCAAAGGTAGAACTCTAAATATATATATATATATTTTAATATTCCCCTTTAAATGTTTAATTTAAATGACTTGACATTTACTGTATAATCTTGAGTTTTACCCCTGCAGGTCTGTTGTCCTGTGCTCACATTAAAGAACTGTCCCGGACGAAGCAGGGTCAATTCACATTGGAAGAACACGCATTGAAGGAAGAATGTTGGACGTTGGCAGATATATCACAGGCTCTGCAGCCCTGCCCAAAGCCACCAGAGCAACAAAAGAATGCCAAGAAAGCAAAATCAAAGCAAAAGCCTGGCCCATCTGAATCTAAGGGTGATGATGGAGATCACAACAGTGACTAAAGGTGATGAAATTGCCCATCTGATACACAAATTACATTCTCAGTGAGAGAATTGTAGGAAATTGCCTGGTCCGCTCTGATTCGATCTGGTCTCTTTCACCATCCCTTTGCATCTAATTGCATGGCCATATATGGTACTTGTAAATATGGATAAAACAGGTGGTGTCAGTGTGTTGAACTTGATGAAATTTACTTCAGTGCAAAAACCATTATCAAAGCCATTTTTGTTTTGTTATATTGTTTCAATATAAAAACCACTTGACTAGTCCTTATGGTGCCAAAAGAAATAAATGATAATTATTTAGATTTTTAGATTAAGTTAAAACTGCACTGATATTGTTTTGACAAACACCAGTTGGCACTGTCATTATTTAACTATGTAAGCCCAAAAGTGATGTAAGTACTAGGCTTTTCCTTTCTTTATATTGTTTTTATCACATATTGACAAGCTATTAAAGTTGATAGCGGGTTAGTGCGTCTTTTCACTTAATGAAAAAATATATACAGCGGGGGAAATAAGTATTGAACACGTCACCATTTTTCTCAGTAAATATATTTCCAAAGGTGCTACTGACATGAAATTTTCACCAGATGTTGATAACAACACAATGAATCAGTACATACAAAGAAACCAAAACAAATAAGCTCAGAAATTAAGTTATGTGTAATAATATGAAATGACACAGGGAAAAAGTATTGAACACATGAAGAAAGGGAGGTGCAAAAAGGCATGGAAAGCCAAGACAACAGCTTAAAACTATTAGTAATTAAAAAGCAATCCAACCCCCTGTCCGTGCACATTAATAACAGCTGGTTCAGTCCCAACGGATGGCCTACAAAAAGGTCTCATTGCCAAGGTGTCACACAAGACACATCTCATGATGGGTAAAAGCAAAGAGCTGTCTCAAGACCTTCGCAACCTAATTGTTCCAAAACATAATGATGGCATTGGTTATAGGTGCATTTCTAAGCTTCTGAATGTTCCAGTGAGCGCTGTTGGGGCCATAATACGGAAGTGGAAAGACAATCATTTCACCATAAATTTGCCTCGACCACTGCTCCTCGCAAGATTTCTGATAGAGGAGTGAAAAGAATAATCAGAAGAGTTGTCCAAGAGCTAACACCAAGGTGTATGGCGTTTTTAGGGTAATGTGCAGTGCCATTTCTCCTCCAAACATGGTGTGTATTATGGCATCCAAACAATTCAATTTTGCTCTCATGTGACCACACTAAATTCTCCCAGTATTTCCCTGGCTTTTCCAAATGTTGTGCAGCAAACTTTAAACGAGCTTCAACATGCTTTTTTTCTTCAGTAATGGAGTCTTGCGTGGTGAGCGTGCATACGGGCCATGGTGGTGGAGTGCATTACTTACTGTTTTCTTTGAGAACACAGTACCTGCTATCTGCAGGTCTTTTTGAAGCTCTCCACAAGTGATCCTTAGCTCTTGGACAACTCTTCTGATTATTCTTTTAACTCCTCTATCAGAAATCTTGCGAGGAGCAGTGGTTGAGGCAAATTTATGGTGAAATGATTGTCTTTCCACTTCCGTATTATGGCCCCAACAGCGCTCACTGGAACATTCAGAAGCTTAGAAATGCACCTATAACCAATGCCATCATTATGTGTTGGAACAATTAGGTTGCGAAGGTCTTGAGACAGCTCTTTGCTTTTACCCATCATGAGATGTGTCTTGTGTGACACCTTGGCAATGAGACCTTTTTGTAGGCCATCCGTTGGGACTGAACCAGCTGTTATTAATGTGCACGGACAGGGGGTTGGATTGCTTTTTAATTACTAATAGTTTTAAGCTGTTGTCTTGGCTTTCCATGCCTTTTTGCACCTCCCTTTCTTCATGTGTTCAATACTTTTTCCCTGTGTCATTTCACATTATTACACATAACTTAATTTCTGAGCTTATTTGTTTTGGTTTCTTTGTATGTACTGATTCATTGTGTTGTTATCAACATCTGGTGAAAATTTCATGTCAGTAGCACCTTTGGAAATATATTTACTGAGAAAAATGGTGACGTGTTCAATACTTATTTCCCCCGCTGTATATTCTTGAAAATAGTTATTTTGGTTTGCTAATAAATAAATATCTCATTTAATGTGTTTGTTCTGGTTCCAGCAAATGTTCCATTCTTATACATGATGTTTTCATGTTAGGTACAAAATTGAAAATGGAAAATCAAAGCAATATTTTTAATAGAAAATGTGATGTGGAGTATTGCAAAAACTCATTGGAGTACTGATGCGTTGGGAAATAGCAATACAGTGCTATACAAAAGGTTGCGGTTGGCTGTGTTGGTTTGAGCAAAAATACAGTACAAATATTAATATTGTGAAATATTACAACTTAAAATAATTATTTTCTATTTAATATTTTTTTTAATGTAATTTATTCCTGTGAATGCAAAGCTGAATTTTCAGCATCATTACTCCAGTGTTCAGGGTATTTCACAGTTGAAAACAGTTGTGCCTCTAATGTTTTTTTTAAATAATTTTCAGAACTATTTGATGAATATAAAGTTCAATAGAACAACAATATTTCTGTTTATTGATATAGAAATCCTTTGTAACAATGTAAAAGTCTTTGTCACCTTTGATCAATTGAATGTGTACTTGCTGAATGAAATAATTAATTTCCTTTGTAAAAAATCTTAAAATACTGTTAAAAGTTCTGTCATTTTAATATTTTATGTTACTATCCATTTAAGGGAAAGTAATAATTTAGTGTTTTTGTAATTGTACACCTAAACCAAACCTAAACAATATTATTAAAAACGTGTAATTAAAAATTGATTTCAGATTGGAAAGAAATATGCACCATTACACACTGATATTTATCTAAAGCAATATGATCATAGTCTCTTGCCGAATTGACAAATCTGTTTTTTTTTTAGACTCTTTTCATGTTCGCAATGAGTGTACTTGGATACTAATCCCTCTTAGTCGGGGATTAAGATTCAACTCCTCTGCTCCCAGACTCTGTATCCACCCATACTTTAATGGCATTAAGAACAAAGAGAAATCATGGGAAATCGCTGTGTGAAATACAAAACCCCCCACCTCCTCCTCAGAGTCAATACAGATGTCTGCATTGCCACGGATAATCTAACAATATTTAATTACCTTCTGCTCATAATATAATTTTTCACCATAGGCACTGAACAGATGAAGAACATAAGAATGTAACAGTGCATTATAGTGCTGACTTTAGAAACAGAGTAATAGCACGAGTAGCTGTCATTCACAGAGATCAGTACAGCTATACCATATATTTAAAGGTTTACCACCTGGGGACACTATGGTGCTTGGTTTATAGAAGGATTTATGGCATGCCTGAAGTGCAGGGCAATCGATTGTAAATCACCTGTGTTTTTGCACATGACATCCTACTATAGCGGGTCACTGGGCACAGTTATGCCACATGTGCTCTCTGACAGGCTGGGACATGCATGTGCTGTCAATGTGGTGATCAGCTATTAGCCTGAGGATCTGATTCTTTCATTCCTGAAGGTCTGAGGATAGTCTCATGTTTCTCAGTGGGGCCATGAAAAAATGTAGAACAGTGAATGTGTGAGGCAGCTATGTTCATAGACAGGAATATTGTGTAAATGTGAAAGTTGAAAATTGCAAATATTAAATGGGTGAAGCACATATAAATTAATATTGTTTATGAAAAAGTGTTAAATGCTGTTCTTTTTACTTTAAATGTGCTTTTTAGCTTAATAGCATGGATACCCTTGTATTTTAACCACACAGTTCTCTTCCTTAAGTCAGCGATATAATGCAGTGTTACATTCTTTTGTTATTCATTTGTTCAGTGCCTGACTGAATGGGGCTGTTGTGACGGGAATGATCTAAAAAGGGAAGTCTTGAGGTGTGAGAATCATCGCAAGACCCAGTAATTGTCTGTGTGGAATATCAAATTCCCTGCCGAATTGAGTGTTTTATTACATGCATATATAACAGTGGGCAGATTTACAGTTGCATGAATATGTTATATTTTGTATGGTGTAAAAAAAAAAAAAAATCCTTGCCACTAGTATATCTATATATCTATATCTATGTACACACACACACACTAAAACAATCCTACAAACTTTAAAAGATAGTGATCACATTACATGAGATACATCCCTGCTTTTTATTACTTATAACAATATCATATGTTTGTGGTGCATAAAAGAGTGACTAAAAAAGGAACCTAAAGAGCAGCTGGCATATAAGGGCATAATATGCACCTAAACGCTTAAGAGAAGAACAGAGTCCATATTTAAGATGGAGGCTTAAAGTGTGAAGGGAATCTGGGTCATAAAACCTAGTTAGTGGGGATGTAGAATCCTCATTTAGAATTAGGATGAAGTAGGCTACTCATTTAACAAAGTGTTAGCAACATACATTTTTACATTTACTGTAGCATACTGGACTGTCCGTATAGCAATTGTTACATTGTACATTGTAGGTAAAACAATAATAATCTTGTATCTTAGAAATAAGTGCTTGCCATCTTGTTGTCTTGACTGACTGTCAATGTTCCACATAATATACTATACAATCAACTTTATTTACATGGGAAATGTATGTTAGGCTTTCACACATTTCCTTATAAATATTACACAAAATGTTTAATGAAGCTTCTCAAGTACTGCAATGGACATTCTTACGGATGCACACACTGTCCCTCTGTCTCTTTAAATGTATCCCCTTCCCAGTGCGCATGCGCGGTCATCTCCGTGTTGAGTTTGCTCCAACCTGAGGAGCAGCCAGCCAGCCAGCGCGAGCTGCTCGTACTATGGGAGATTAAACGCTGGTCGAGGGGGCCAAAATTCGCACGCTGAGGGGTTTTCGGCGACCTGGGACGAAGAGGATATATATCTATATTGAGGGGCGACACTTTTGACAAGGAGTTTATCACGTTGAGCCAAAGAAATAGCGAAAAAATGCGAATAACGGAGAGTTGCCCAGATTTTCCAAATCCCTCAGCGCAACGGACAACAGCAGAAACAACATCCATGTTACTCACTGCTGCGATCATAAAGGATGCTTTTTCTTCAGAAGCCTTCTCCGTTTAGCTTGTTTTCACGTGGCATATGAACGTTTAGCCACGAAAAGCTCAAGGTTTGAAGGCTTGAAAGCACACCAGCAGTGTATTTGAGCAGCCAGCTGAATGTTTACGCTTTAAAATGGCTGCGGACGGGATCAGAATAAGACCGTTGAATAATATGATGCTTTAAAGCTGGAAATACCCCATCTCTTGAGTTATGGTAATGATCTGGGAGGAAAGGTTTTTTCAATGTTATGGGGAATTATTTTCCAGCCCTGTAACTGCAGGAGGTAACGTAGGAAATTCCTGCTCTTGTTCAGAAACACAATGAGGCGAGACAGTTGATTAAATATGCCTGTGTTTATGCTGATTTTATCTTATCACGCTCGGATCTGGAGGTTTTCCTTTAAACGATTGCCTAGATTTCGGGATACTATCGCTGATGTTTAGGGAATATGCATGATCTATAAGTGAACGGTTTCCCCTGCTGTTATAATTGAAACAATCTGGCCACCAGTAAGCAGGGAAGAAAGGCCCTAAGATATTGATACCCAATTCAACAGTTCTGCATCCTTAAACCATGAATGCCGGGAAGAGGATGCTCAGACCTGAGCTGTTTCTGGTCAGACAGAGACTGCAGGGCATGCAGAGATATTTATGGCTATGTGTGATGTTCTCCCTGGTGCTGATATCAGACTGCTCTCCATCTAAACCCTGTGAGAAGAACTGTCTGTCAGGCAGGTGTGTGAACGGATCTTGTGTCTGTGATCGTGGATGGGTTGGTGACCAATGCCAACACTGCCAGGGAAGATTCAAGTGAGTATTTACTAAAACATTTAAGAGTATTAAATTATGCATTTGTACCTGTTTTTAATTCTTGAGAAACAGGGAACCATGCTTGTTTTAAATTCAATGATCATTGGTGCATAGATGTGATTTCTTTAATTGTTATTTTATTAAAATAACAAAGTTTTGTTATATGTTAATCATCTTAAGCATGTTACTGATTGCTGGATTTTCATAATTTGTCTAATAATTCTGGATAACTTGAAAGGGATTTTTCACATATGTGCACCATCTGGTTAAAAACTGATATGAAGGTCACTTGTTCTTTACTGTTCCCCCCTCTCAGACCATTTTCATATGGCTTAAAATATAGATTTATCATATGTCTGTAGAGGAGCACTTCCAGGACTCAAAATGTTTCCTTGAGGTGCTCTTTGGATGGGATAATCATATGTAGCAAACAAAAATTCAGGAAACTCAAAGGCACTCTCTCTTTAGAAAGATTAAAAAGCCTTTATTGTTATGGCTTGGTCATCTTAAACCTTTAAAACACTCCAACGCGTTTCGATATACAAGCCTTCGTCAGGGTGTCAAAGATTTATCATATCCACATTGAAATCTTGGTATACCTCTGGCAAATCCTGTGAGTCTTGGCACAATTTAGTTGAATTAAAGTTTTGTACTTTTAGCACACATGAAGTTTGCTAAGCTTTTAGGCCCACACTGGTTTCCATAAAGCAGTACTGAAAAACTGGATTGTATAATTTGATGGCTTCTTGCTGGTCACACATTTACTTTACACACTGTTGTATATTGTATTTTTTAAATAATTGTACAGACATGATCTGATGAGAGTTTTCAAACATTTACTATTGTCATTATTAATTCTGTTTTTTTCGTCTTCAAAAAGGATGTCAAAGTTACTGTGGGCAGACATGATTTAGTTTTAAACGATTGTAGTTTGACAGCTGTATGATAAATTAAATTCTTTAACAAAGCTCCTGCACTCCTGTATCTTAAAATAGCATCCCACTCTCATTGGGTGCAACAAAGATCTTCCTCTTCACTCCGTCTTAGAAGCAGCTGAGAGGATGCTATTGGCATTTATAAGTGCTGTCACTCAAACTAAACTTCAGACTGACACCCAGCCCTGTGTGACAAAGGTTGGAAGCAAGAATAGCTGGATGGAAGGAAGTGGTCTCCATTGATGTTTTGATACTCTTGGCCATTGTTTGCCTTTAATGCTGGTCCAGGTGACTAGGAAATACTAGGAAGACCATGGAGTTACATGACATTGTCATACTGCCCATTAGCTGCTGCTGTCACATTGACAAATAACAGTAAGTTGTTATAAAGATTGGCTAAATGGATACTTGGGATAGAAATTGTCGTGCCTGGTGCATACCACTCTATTGTTTTGAACATGGCCTGTATGTTCAGATGTTGTTTATGAGGATGCAGAATTATTAATGAGATGTGTTAGGTTTCAGGCTCATAAACAACAATCTCCTTGCCATGATAGTGCTTTAATTATGTATAGAGACCGTTCTGTCTGTTCAAAGTTAAAATATAGCAACCTGCCTTGAAACTATGAATCAGTCTTTTAATTTATTTCTTGGGGAAAAAATTGACTAAATAGACATTCAACAAAGTGAAATATTATCTATGTTTTTGCAATATGAACAGTACATTTTCAAATAGAGTCAACTTTGTGGTTAAAAGTGAGTGCTTTGTAAATTTCTAGAGCAGTCGGCTAACTTAATGACGTTGCCTAAACCTTAGTCTTGCTTAGAGATTGGTTGGGTTTCTGTGGTTGTGCCATCTGATGATGTAACTTCCTTCAGTTATTTTCCTGTATGTTGAAGTTAATTTAGATTGAAGATGAAACTACATTAGTTTAAATTCCAGCAGATTATACTTAGTTATAGCAATTGCATATATATTTTGATATTAATAGGTATAGATAATTGATTATGAAAATGTTTACATTTTTAGATTTGGTTGGTTTTGTCCTTAAATTGTCTATTGTCTGTAAATAATTTTGAGTACTTTATAGTGCCGTTATCTGCTATACTTGAGGTGCAATGGTTGTGTACATGGATTTTAGAATATCACCTGTCATGTCATATAGGCCTAGTTTCTCTTGAAACTATCTTTATAATAATTTGAGGATAGTTGAGGGGTTTGTGGTTATGGTGGCTTTCTTAGTTGCACAGGTTAAATTATAATTTTTTTCTGTGTGTAAGGAAAATTGCATTTTAAGATTTCTTTTTGCATTAGAATGTTTTTATTATTATTATTCAAGGTATTTCTTCAATCTATGTTAATGGGTAGTTGATGCATGTCGTGGAAGTTAACAAAATCATTGATGTAAAAAATGCAGAGGTGTAAAGAGTACCTGAAAACCATACTTAAGTAAAAGTACAGATAGACAATTTCATCATTGCTGTCAGGTGTGCCATGGAGATTTTTAAGAATATATCGTCACTTTCGGGTGGAAACCTCCTATCTCTATATTTCGTTTTTGTTTTATTTTATTTTTAAAAAGCAATGCTAGCCTATTGGTCATTATTCATACCTTTTACAAATAATTAACTTTGACGTCACAGTGTTTATTTTAGAAATATGAGGTTTTCCGCCTGACAGGAATGATATGTAGCCTAGCCTAAATTTGTTTTATAATGACCAACAACATCATGTAGCTTGCTTCCTATATGGCCGTATTGTTTCAACCTGACTTAAAGCTGCCGTCGGCAACATTTTTTTGAGCATATTCAGTGAAATCGACACTATAATCTGACAGAACAACATAAATAAAGTGGTTTTAGAAAAAACCCCGAGCTTCTAACTCCACCTGGAGCTTGTTATTTGTTTTGCAAAAATCCACAGCTCCCGGTTCATCATGTCCAATCAGCGCAGGGGGGTGTGAGATCTGACTGTCAATCACAGATCGGGCACACGCCACCCCTCGCGCACGTTACAATCACATGCACACGCCTGAAGTTCGCGGAAGTTCGCGCAGTAACGAAGAGTGATGGCGGAAAATCAAGTAAGCTCATTTAGAGTATAAATGACGTTAGCAAATGCAATCTATCGGTACATTAGCCAGGACAGCATACCTCCAAATACTCCATGGTGTTGATGGATGCTGATGAGACGGGCGCGTTCCAGGGCTCTCAAGTTTTGAAGACAGGTAAGAGTGACACCCAGCCGACGGGGGGTTGGATACATTTTTGTCATTGGTTGTTGCGTTAAATCTTACCCAGATACAATAGGGCTATTTTCTGATTGGCTATTGTGTAGCTCGACGAACAACACCAGAGGAAACCAACGCGCTTGATTCATGCCGGTTCCACAGTGAGAGCGGCGCGGCCAGAGTTTTGGGCGCTGCGGCATATTAAATATATTACAAATAGTTTTTCAGCGTGAGAAATACAATGTGTGGCGGGAGAGCGTGACAAAAGACCAAAATGAGTGACTGTCACGCTCAATGCGTGACACTTGAGAGCCCTGGTGTTCACTGAAAATCTGGTGCACACGCACTGACCAGAGCTGGCACTGACGAGCATGAACTGGGTGGGAGGGTATCCGTTGATAGTGGGGGAGGGGCATGAGAGTTGTAAACATTCAAAATTTTCCTAAATCCACTCAATCTGCCAGACTTGCCGACTGGAGCTTTAAGCTGAAGTTTCACCTTAAACTACTTTTAATATAATATCCAGTTTTAATATGCCATTTGAAGCAATGCTTGTTTGTGCAATTTTGTTATTTTAGTGCTTAGTAGTGTCGTGGGATTCTTGACTTATCAAAACTGTGCCGTGGCAAGAAAAAGCTTGGGATAATACACTGGCCTAAGGTCATTAGGCTATAATCACAATCTTAAGTAAATGTTAGCAAAACAAAGGGTCGCTTGCTGGAGATATTTATGTGATAAATTCGATTGGGATCGACATCTTGAATAATAATGAAAATCTCATTATCTTCCATAATCATCTCTGCTGTAATGTTCCGTTCCATCTGTGTGTTTAAAGTATTCACTTTTTAGTAGAGAGGCATCCTGAAAGCGTACGAGGAACCTGATTGGTTTAGGGACGGAACAGGCACCCTCTAATTAGCTCAAGTCGTTCAAGCTCAGATTTTGACAGTTCCGGTCGAAGGAGAATGGGTAAAATGGTCAGATTGTTAGGGATGCATCGAAATTACGGCTACCGGATTTTTTTTTTTTACCCGAAACAGCCTCTGAAATCTGTGCCATTTTCTGTTGATGCGTGAACAAAACTTAACTAAACATAACACTTTAATAATCACAAAAAGCTTTGTGCTTTGTTATCTGAAATCAAGTCTTAACTTTAAAATTCTGTTGCTTTTCTATCGTGAACCGATCATCTCATCTCCTCTTTACTGCTAGTTAGGGTTGCAGGTTAGGGTAGGATCAAATTTCTCTCTGTGGAAAAGAATGTGTGTAATATTTAAAAAAGTTTGTGTGTTTTAACATGTGTGTGTCTGGGTAGCGTGTGTATAAATGTATCGATACATGCACAGGTCCAAGGGCTCGATGTTTGCAAGCACACATGCTCATATGTGTACATGAAAATAATGAACATGCTCCTGAAAACTAAATTGTTCTGTTATTTTCAGTCTCTCCCATTCACTTTCAATGGTCGGCCATTGTGACCATTTTTGACCATGCCTACTCTCAGATGAATGAGGCCCACGATTAATCAGATGCAAACAGAAATATAAAACCAGTCCTAATTGAAAGAGAACAAGTTGCCAAAAAGATTGAATCCAAGATTGGGTGAAAATATGGTATAATGAGTGACTTATAAGCTATTTTTTATAGGCCGGTCATTTTTGACCGGGAACACCACAAGTGTGACTATGTGCCATATTTTTTACAAAACAAAAGTTTCAAAACAAAATTCCTGGTGAAACATTAGAGTAGACAAGTGTGATCAACAGTAGCCATTTTTTTTTTTTTTTTTTTTTTATATTTCCGAATTTACTCATAAATGATTTGTTTTTTACTC